TACTTATTATCGCTGTACAATTGCGCCTACCAAACCTGTGATGTTTTGTGGGGTTCCCTCTTATCCTTAACCCCACAGCCCTGGATTCTCAAGGAATGCTCATGAAAGCGGCAGTCAAGGACTCAGAGAAATGTCATTGGGTAAATATTCTGCACAAGACCTCTTTAAAGGATTGAAGAGCAATGCTGTGCATTTGAGGATTAAGGTGCGCCTGACCCAAGCTGTGGTATTTTCAGTTGCCTCATATGCATGTGAAAAATGGGCATTGTATAATGTGAAGACCGACGAAAACTTGATGCATGTGAACTATGGTGTTGGCAAAGACTATTGAAAAGACCGCGGACTGCAGAGAGAATAGACAGTCTGTCGTGGAAGAAAGACAGAATGCTCCTTGACAGCAAGCATGTTGAGATGTCATCTCCCGTACTTTAGACGTGCTGGCAGGAGATTCGTCCCCGGAAAAGAACATCGTGCTTGGTAAGATGGAGGAGCAGGGAAAGGAGAAATGCCCTTGACAAGCTGAAGTGACACAGTGGCCCAACAATCGGCTCAAACGTAAGGACAATGGTGAGAATGGTGCAGGACGAGGCGGTGTTTCATGCTGTGGTAGACAAGGTAGCCGTGAGCTAGAACGGACTCAACCAGAACACCCACCCCGCCATGTACTGTGAATACTCTGTATCTGTTCATGTGTGCGTTCCCAAAGTACAATTAGCATGTAAATGCGTGGTTTTATGAAGATCATTATTTAAAACAAGGCAAAGGTGGATATAATGAAAATGTGTCAATTTAAATAAAAATATTGAATCAAAAAAAAAAAATTGAATCAAAAAATGAGTGTTGGTAAAATGTGACTATAGCAAGATTCATAAAGTGGCATGCAAATGACTAACATGTGGTAATTAAAAAACATTAACTATAACAATTATAACTATAAATGGAGCCTTGTCTGTGACTAATGCTGCCAATGTAGGTTGGACTTCCTCCTTGACTATCATGAGCTCTTAATCACATGCTACCTCTTACAATGCTTGAAGGTCAACTAGTTCTTTTTGGCACAGTGACTCTATTTTCCTGTTATCATCTTTTGATACTTCTGCATCGTTCAATATTTTGTCCACGGAATCCGTCAATACTCCTACTCGAGGCTTGACTTTTCTCTTGCGTTCTGCTCAGCTCCCAAAACGCTGAGCGCATTGTTCCTTGTGGGCTTTCTGACTGCAGATTTTTGCATTTTTATCCTTTACCTTCTGGAGCAACCCTTTGAGATTTCCTATTCCATTTGCTTTAGCTAATCTACTCTCAAAAGTTTAAAATCTCTTCTAACACCACTTTGATCTTTTCTTGCTGTTTTTTCTTTTTAAAGACCTTTTGCTTTCTATGATAAAATAATAATAATTTATAAATTATCAATGGGGAGGGAAGGGAAAAATTGAGGAACTGATACCAAGAGCTCAAGTAGAAAGCAAATGTTTTGAGAATGATGAGGGCAACAAATGTACAGATGTGCTTGACACAATGGATGTATATATGGGTTGTGATGAGTTGTATGAACCCCCAATAAAATGATTTTTTTTTAAAAGACCTTTTGCTTTCTGCATGTAGGATGTTCTTCATTAGGATGTTCTTCCTGTAGGATGTTCTTCACATCATCCTATAGCTCATCCGCTCTTCTGTCCTGGGTGTTCATCATGTCAAATATTTCTTGAGTTGTTCTATAAATTCAGATGGAAAAGACTCAAGGGCATATTTGGAAAGAAAAACAAAACTGGACCAATGGAGAAAAGATTGAAATTGTCACGAATTTTATTTTCCTTGAATCCACAACCAATGTTTGTGGAAGCAGGATTCAAGAAATCAAACGATGTATCACATTAGCAAACTCTGCAGCACGAGACTTTTAAAAATGCTAAAGAGCAAGAATGTCACTTGAGGAGTAAGGTGAACCTGACCCAAGCCATGGTAGTTTCAAACTTCTGACGTGCACATGAAAGTTGGACAATGAATAAGTCAAACAAAAGAAGAATTGGTGCATTTAAATTAGGGTGCTGGTGAAGAATATTTAAAGTACTATTTCAACCAGAATGCCCCTTAGAAATGAGGTTTCAAAAACCGTGACTTAAAAACGTTGTCTTGCGTACTTTGGGCATGCTGTTTGAAAAGACCAGGGCTTGGAAAAGGACACCATGCTTGTTGAACTAGAAAGCCATCGAAAAAATAGGAAGACCCTCCACGCGAAGGAGTGGTTCAACACTGGCATCAAACAGAACAATAATTGTGAGGATGGAGCAGGAGTTCATATTGTTTTGTTGCACATGGGCTAAACATGAGTTGGTATCTGTTTGACAGCGCCTAACAACAACAACATAACAAATGAGGGTAAAAAGAACAGAATGTACATGTGTGCTTATTGTTTAGCTCGGGGTTGGGGTAAACATTCAAAAATAGTTAACAGGAAGCCAATGTCACTACACAGTCAAAACAAGCACGGGTCAATACTGCTGCTGTCCCATGAGCACAGCTGACTCTCTCTCCCATTCGGGCAGTTACCTGGATACCCATGCTATATAGGTGAGGCAGCTGAAGTTGTTGTCCAAGAGTACAGTCAATCAGAAGCTAAGGTATGACTAGAACTTACAGAACATTACAGAAGCAAGGATGGGAAAATGTGCCGAGGATACTATCACTTAGAAACATCCACAACATTTTCTCCAACACCTCTCCTCCTGGAAATATAGGAACCTCTCCCACGGTAGCCTGGCCTTTGGCCTACATCTCTTCTCTCCCCTTCTCTCCTATGGAAGCTTCAAGCCCGCCAGAGGGAGCCATCAGTATACGTTAGGGCAGTGGTTCTCCGCCGTCCTCACGCTGCGAACCTTTCATACAGCTCCTCATGTGGTGGTGACCCCAACCATCAAATGATTTTCTTTTTTTTTTTTAGATCGTTTTATTAGAGGCTCATACAACTCTTATCACAATCCATACATACATCAATTGTGTCAAGCACATTTGTACATTCATTGCCCTCATCATTCTCAAAACATTTGCTCTCCACTTAAGCCCCCGGCCCATCAAATGATTTTCGTTGCTCCTTCATAACTATCATTTTGCTATTGTGATGAAACGTGTGACCCCTGTGAAAGGGTCATTTGACCCCCAAAGGGGTCTCGGCCCACAGGTTGAGAACCGCTGCATTAGTCTTTAGGTCTATGGTCTGTAGTTTAATTGTTTGAACGCAGGTACTATGTATTTCTGGTTGTTTTGAACACTGGTCTGGGCCAGGAGACTTTAAAGTGCTGAGGACTCAAAAGCCAAGTCCTACCCCAAGGACTTCATGGTCCCGAGCTGGGGACAAAGAAGGAAGGGGTAATGATCTTGAGTGGTGACATCATGAGGAAAAGTGCACACGTGGAAGGAACGCCTCACACCACCAACTAGAATCATGTTCTTAGATTTAAGTATGAAATTCTGTCGGGTGACGGGGTCCCCCACACACAAACAGGTCCTCAGGAGCGACTTTGCGGTTGTGGAAAATATTAAAGGCAGGCAGACAGCGGGGCACAGGGGCTCCTCATCCCTTGTCAGAACCAAGAGAGTGAATGTATTTTCCAATGGGTGTATATTATGGGGCTTACAGATCTTTCTTAAGGCGTGCACGTCATATAGCTAACATCAGACATAATAGGTAATATCATAAGCAGGTAACAAAAAACAAGCAATAATATGAGTCAGTGCTTTGATTTAGTGCTAGTTGACCTCAAACACCCTTGAGCCCTCCCCAGGAGGAGGAATCTCTGATCAGTATCAACAAGAGATGTTAAAACAGAGTCTGCTACATTTTAAAGTGGGTTGGCTCTAGAACCTGATTGCTTTTATCTACAGATAATGTAGGCATTGTGAGGTAGCTCCCCTATGCCACTTCTTTTATGGAGGGTTATTGGAGTGACTGTGTGCAGTCATGAGAATGTATATTAAGATTTATTTCTATCTCATAACCATAAGAGTCTTCCCCCACTAGACCTGTAATTATGAGCATGGATGATTTAGCTGTCTCGCTTTCTCATCCAGTCCCTCAATTTACCACAAAATCCCATTTGACAACAAAGCAGAGTTGTCAGTGTTTCTTCAAAATTCATGAGAACTCAGGAGAATGACAGTAAGAGCCCAGATCCCTGATTTTTTTTTTTCTACCTTGGCTAACCATAATGTGACCAATCCAATGGCATCCGTGCGTTGTCTTTTAATTTCTGAAGCCATTCCATCTAGTGCGTCTGTGCTAGAAGGAGCCGGGGGCGTAGAGTTACAAGTTGGAGGGCCAACCACAAAGCCAGCGGTTTAGTCCCATCAGCCGATCCCAGGGGCAGAGAAGAGACTTTCTACCTCCCTAAAGATTTACCGTCTCGGGAACCCACAGGAGCAGCTCTACTCTGTCCTAAAGGATTGCTCTGAGATGGAATTGACTCAGTGGCAGTGATTGCGGTGTGGCCTTGATGTTGAAAGAATGCGACATCATAGGAACATAATGCATTGTGTTGGTATTGCAGGGTCCTGCAGCCCAGGTGAGGGATACAGTGACACACATGCACAGTGGTTTGATTGCCAACCTGTGTCCCACCGGGGTTCCAAGGCAGGTAAGAAGGACCGGGTGAAGTGCCTCCTAGGAGAAGCGCCGCTGGAGAAGTCCTCGGAGGGGAAGAAGAGAGGGGGGCAGTAACGAGCACAGCACCTCAGGCAGAGGCACCAGCAGAGGCGAAGCTACGGGAGTCTGGGAGTGGTTGAAGACAGTGCTGCCATCTATTTTTTTCTTCAATTAAAAGATCATTTTATTGAGGGCTCTTATAACTCTTGTTACAGTTCACGCATCGATTGTATCAGACGTATTCGCACATATATTGCCATCGTTCTTTTCTAGACATTTACTTGCCTTGGGGTCAGGCTTCTCACTCTGGACTGGACAGGAGCATGTACACAGGTATAGACAAGAGATAAGGCTCACAACACGGAATCCAGGAACAGGAGTGGGAATAG